TTCTTCCACTATAGACAGACTTCTCCTCATCCTAAAGCAAATGAAAAGCAACCACCAAAAGGCTTAGGAAGTAGTGGGGTGTGGTCAAAAGTCACTCTGCTGCCTCACTGTCCTCCCATAAATGTTCTCACTGAAGTGAAATTTCTTAGAGGAGTTTTTCATCCCCCTCATCCGATGGTCATCCATGACCTCTGAAGCCTGTCTTGTGTGTATATCATCACAAGTAAAGTCACTTGGTAAAGAGTGGAGGGAAAAAAACAGGTGAAGAGTAAGGACCACCTGTGATGACAGATGAGCAAAGAAATCACCAAGGCAACTGAGGGAAGACACATTTGGAAGTCCTAAAAGAAGCCAAGAATGCAAGGACTTTACTTTTCCCCAAGGAAGTACACAGACAGTTTCTATCTACCACCAAATGTTCAGTGGAGTTTTCACTGTTTGGGAAATGACAGTAACTCCACTCTAGTAAAACCACCTTTCTGATCATAATCTCTCCATGAGCAAATAAGACTGGAGGAGCTGCACTTAAAAATGAACTTAAGAAGCTAGCAATCCAGGGCGCCTGGGTGGCTCAGTTGGTTAAGCGACTGCCTTCAGCTCAGGTCATGATCCTGGAGTCCCGGGATCGAGTCCCGCATCGGGCTCCCTGCTCGGCAGGGAGTCTGCTTCTCCCTCTGACCCCCCCCCCTCTCATGTGTTCTTTCTCTCTCATTCTCTCTCTCTCAAATAAATAAATAAAATCTTAAAAAAAAAAAGAAGCTAGCAATCCAGAAATCATCATGTAGATACAGGGAGATCAGTTTTATGAGCTTGAGATGAACATATTAGCTGATTTGGTGAAACACTAAGGTCTTTTCCATAAAAGAAAAGCAGGCTATCCTTTAAGGACTATTTAAGGCACCGAATGGCCATGGGTGGGAGGCTAACATTATTTAGGTTAGGCTATTCATTCTATGAAAATGTATTCAGAAGTCTGACTCTAACCTTAGAAAGTGGTTTTGCATGGCTGGCATACACTTATGAGACTCAGCAATGACTCTTTTTATTTGGTCAAGAGGTCCCAAATGTGGAGAGGAAGATAAATAATAACTGCCCTCTCCATAAGGTACTCATAATATTTATGCCCTGTTAATTGTTGTTTCATAATCATTCATTAATAATAATGGCCTCTTTGTCACACAGTGAACCACTTACTCCCTTCAATTAAATGTCTTCAAATATTCAGAATATTTCTAAGAATTTTGATAGATTCTGATTCTGATTATTATTATTTTATTATTATTATTTGTAGGAGCACCAGATTAATGTTGGGCAGCTAACCAGAGGATTCAGGCAGACTTGGTCTTGTAGAAAATTTACAAGTAAAATTTTCAATGTTACATTTGCAAATGACCAAGTATCTCTTGAGAGAATCCAGATGACAACGTTTGTCTTAAGGCCAATGTGCAAGGTTAAATTGAGAGACAGAGCACAGAGTGCATTCTCTTATGATATGGATTTAGAGAGAGTGAGCTGAAAAAAAAAATAGTGAGTAGAAACCAAAGAAAACTACTTTACTATGAGCTTTAGGAAATAATTGTTTAGGTTTCAGAAAGAAAGGAAAATGAATTACATCTTTTTCCCCTCTCCAGAGTGCAAAGCCAGTTGAAAGATTGCTACAAGAGTCAGACAGAGATTTTAAAAAATTAAAAAAAAATAAACCTTTATTATGAACTAGACCTGGAAAGTAGCCAAAGGGCCTTACTAAGGCTTTATCCATGAACTGGGCAGACTGACTCAATCAGCTCCTGGATCCATGGGACCACAGCATATATCTTTTCAGGGTTAGTCCACTTCTTGCATCTCAGAAACCAGAATTTGGCTTCAGAGATAATGTCAGTGGCTGAGCCACACAATCCCACCTCCCTCTTCCAAATTCACTCGTCAGATCATTTACTTCTCTTACCCAAAGGACAGGAAATGTGTTGGGAGCAGGGAGAGTGGAGCTGGGAGCGCTATGCTTTCCTTTCTAAGGAAAAGTGATGAGTTGGGAATATGTGGTTTTTCCAGTAATATAGAGAATATAAGGAGTCATCAGCCCAGGGGCTAGAAATGAGGGACATGGTGGAGACAATGCTCTTAGCAGACTGTATCCTCACTGCATTTAATATAAATAACCATGGCGCAGGCCTCAGCCAACTCTGGTAGTATTTGTTTTAATCCTCAGACATGGCCCTGGAAGATACAGTGTTCGCCCAAGGCCCACAGCATCCTGGAGTGCATGCTTGATATTAATAAAATTTAAAGTTACGTTTCATGTATTTTTAATCCTGTATGTAGATAATCACATGCAGCTGGACAAATATTATAATCACTTTTATGGTATATAGATTACTAGGTTAATTAGAGTATCAATTATCCTGAATGTATCCCCATCCTATTTCAAACATTTTGAATCAATGAGAGGTATTTGACTAACTGAATTTTTCTTTGTAAAGATCCATTGCATTCAAGGCATGTCTGGATAACATAGAGAAATGAATTAGACACATTCGCTGACCTGAAAAGTCCTTATCATATAGAATTTACAGACATGTACCTAATTAGGTGCAACACAACAACAATGCATTGATAGTGCGGAAGAAAATAAAAAGGGAGCATGTGCAGATCTGCCTAGACCTTACTGAAAGCTGGAATTTGAATAAGTGTCCTGAATAATAAGTGAGATGTCACAAGGCTGTGGAATTAAAGAGGAAGTTCTAGGTAGCCATAGGAGCAATTCTGACAATAAGAGGACCTTCTGTGGAATGACAGATAATGCCATTATTGAAGAGTAGAATTCAACATATGGCTGATAAAAGTTAAAGGTCAAGATGTAGGTTGAGGCAAGCTCTCAAAAGTTATTTTGCGTCTCGTTTGTGTTGTTGTGATGTTTTCAATGCTTTGGTTTGGTTCTCTTCTTTAGCAACAGATACTGCCATCTTTTGCTAGAGAATAAATAGAGACTAGATATCTTAGAATCACTGATGTTTGCCAGTCTTCAAAGGGTAAATGAATGGGAAATAGTCCCGGTCTTTCTGGGAGAAAAGGATGGTCTCACTCTGAGAAGGGTTTATCACTGGGCTTGGTGGTTGCTCTTCTGTGCTGTTGTGGACAATGGACTCAGTCCTCCCAGCATTCGTAAGGTTGATTTGCATGCCAGGAGTTAATGTACATGATATATAAGTATAATTATAGACCTACAGTACTTTCTTGAGGGCCTCTAATTGACCCCATTGTTGGAAAGTAATTGTTCCCTCCATTACTGTTACAAAGGAGCTTGACTCCATCACTGGTGACAGATACCTCAGGAGACAATGAACCTGCCTCCACGACTGAATTTTGGACTAAAATTATAAGGTCAGCCTTACTTACTGGGAGAGTGTCTTGCTTTCACATAGTCCAAATCTTTTGCAGAAATAACTTGTTTTCCTCCCTTTTCTACCAAAAAAATTCACCATTCCTAAATCTCTTCCCAGAGGGATTTCATCAACCAGGGAGGACTGACTCTTATCACAGGAGAGAAGTATACACCCAGACAAACTGTGTCACAAACTCTCATACCTCCCATCTAATCTAAGAGCCTATTCATTTTTCCCTAGGAATCATTTACTCTCCCCTAAGAATACTACATCCCCCTACCCTTCCCCTATTAAAATGGTATTTAAGCCTGAATTCTAAGCCACCTCAGGAAGTTACTCAGTTTTCCCTGAGTATCTCCCAGATATACATACATGAAGTATACATATTAATAACCTCCTGCTTTTCTCTTGTTTGTGTGTCTTTTATTACAGGAGTCTCCTCTAAGAACTCAGAAGCGTAGAGAGAAAATTGCTTTTCCTCCTCTACATGTGCGTATCAAGCCTCTGTCATTCATTCACCACATTCTGTGTAATAACATTGGACTGATCCCATGGTGCTGTTCTCCATCACTTTACATATGTATAAGAACCCCCAGACCTTAAGGGAAAAGGAAAAGGATATCCTTGGAAGAAGGTAAAATGGACTTTGAATATCTTGCTATTACCTGTCTGGGGAGAGCAGTCAAGGGTTTTGCACTTTGGGGACAGACAAACTAGGATAGGTTTCTGAACTCCTTTGATCTATAGGACCTCACCCTGGTTTCTTGAAAGTGCTAGAGAAAGAAACAGTCTGTGGTTATAATCAAGGGAGACAGACATGATCAAATACGCTTTGTAGCACTGCGCGCTGGAAATGGTGCCGCAGACGACTGGCAGGGATCCTAGAGCTGCCTGACCAGCGAGGAAGCTGCAGCGAATATTCATGCCCAGACTGCGACACTCAAGGGCAGCACTTGTGGAAAGAAAAGAGACACCAAGACTTCCTCATGGAGGAGGATGTGTATATATCCAAAAACTGCTAATGTATCTTTCATTTTCAGGCCATGATTTCTCAGGAAACATTCACTGCAATAGAAGTACCACAGGTTGGCTCAGATTCAGTGTATCATTTATGTGAAGGAAATGGACTAGGCCATGTCCAACCATTAATGAAGGTTCGAAGCCTTGCTCTCTGGGGGATATCAGCTACTATCCTCCTACTGACTTTATTATTTCTATGTAAAAACGAATCTTCCACCTGTGTGAAGTCGTCCTCCTCCTACCTCCTCTTCCTGTGTGAACAGTCTGTTTCCCCCTTAAAAGAAATATCAGGTGCTGGTTCTGTGTAGAGTATGTTGCTGCCAAGATAAAGAAGCTGCAGTAATTGAAGGGGCAGACAAAAATTGTGTTAACCGTCCACATGGTGCTCTTATGAAAAGCCCAGGAGTAACTGGTGGTTAGGAACACTTAGGGCTGAAGGCAAAAACCAAAAGTGTGGTCTTGAATTTCATGCACTAATTACATATATAGTTACCTGATCCTTCAGTAGCCAATATATTTTGTGGCAAAATGTTTTTCTGAGGTAAAGGATACACTTGTAGAACACACACATGTAATTATTTATTTAAAAGTATAATGCTTGTGCTCGCTTTGGCAGCACATGTGCTAAAATTAGAACAGTACAGAGAAGATTAGCATGGCCCTTGTGCAGGTATGAAACGCAAATTCACAAAGCATTCCATATTTAAAAAATAAAAGTATAAAGATGAGGCATTTTGCACCATCCACTGGAGTGAGGACAGAATGAACAAATGGCTAAGGAATTATAGTTTTAAGTTACCCTGTAGCCACATCAGAGCATTTTCACGTTTTCTGAAGGTATACATCTTAGGAAGGAGCACCACTGTAATCTACTACTGTCGTAGATACAAAACAAAACAACAACAACAAAAACCAAACAGGTAATAAACCTAACAAAAACCGTAAAATATATTTCATTTTCAAAGGAATGAATCAAGTCCCAATAACCCCACAAAAACTCCCAAATCAAGTTTCAAGTAGATATTAGGCTGACATTTCCTTGGCAGAGACTTCAATTAGAAATCTTCCGTAGGCGAAAGGTGGGAAGAGATGAGCAGATGAAATTTAACTTACTTCTCCAGCTCATGCTGTGAGCCCCACATTCTCACCTCCACAAACTAGCAAATGAAAGGTATTGAGGATTCAAACATTTTTCTTCCAGCAGCGGGTGGCCCAAGTGCCTCAACCCAGCTGTCTTTTCATATTAGAAAGAAAGCTGAGATCATTGTCACTCAGATAATATCCCATTTGTTCTGCTGCTCTCACTAAATTTTTGGAATTTTATGTGGGGTCTCTCTTCCACTAAGAGATGAAACTGTGCTACAATTTCTCTGTTTAAACTGTGGGATAATTCCCTCTTTCAGAAAAAGAAAGTGTTGAAACATTCATTTTTACAAAGAAGTTGGGCATTAAAAGACTGTCTTTTAATTAGAGAAATAAACTGCAGATCATTCAGTTGTCACATTTCAGAGATTTGTTCGGCAAACCTTCAACAGTTTCTCTTGTTTTTAAAAAATGATTTATCAGCAGTGATTATTAGATCATATAATTGCAAGGGACTTTCTCCAGAATGGCCAACCATTCAGCAATAAATTCCAATGACCTATTCCTTATGAGGGCAGACATTCCTTCTTCATAGAAAATGGGCCTTCTATGTAGTGGTTTTTTGCAGTTCCCTAACTCCCTATCTGAGGGAGAAAAGGCAGTGGAGGAAATGGAGGAAAGAAAAATGGAAATTGCCTCACTTGGAATTACGGGAAATTTTTTAAAAGTATTTTTAAGATCAATAATAGTATAGAACTGCTAAATTACTATATTGCACAACTGAAACTAATGTAACACTGTATGTTAACTAACTGAAATTAAGATAAAAACTTAAATAAAAAATAAAATAAAATCAATAATAAACACAGGTTGTCCTCCTAGGAATTTCAGGACTGTGCTGGGTGTGGCTCGAAAGAGGCACAAAAATAAACAAGTTATTTTTCTACCATGAAACTACTTGAAGAAACGGATTTTAGATGAAATTAGAAAGCAGTATACAATAAGCTAGGAAGGGAAAAAAAAATAAAAGGAAAAGACAGGCCATGAAGGCTTCCAACTTTACCCTCCTCTCCCCTCCATCTTAGTATTTGTAATTCATGCCTTTATAGGATCTCATGACGATATGTATATTCATCAAAAGTCCTCCTCTCAGAAAAAAGACTAGTTTAAGCAAAAAGAGAAAGGGACTCTAATAGTAAAGTAGTATATGACTGAGTATAAAGGCCAACTAGGGTTGGGTCTTATGAAGAACCAGGACAACTAGAAGTCTGTCTGTGTCTCCTTTGTTCTTACAGAGATCCAGACTACCCCATGTATCCCGAGTTTCAATACTCAGTGCCAGTGACACTTAGAAATGAATGATCTGTTCTTGATCAATCCCAATTCTCCATTTCTGGGAGAGAGAATTAGACTGTCTCAGCGTGGGTAATCAGATATGACCAGGGGATTCAGAATCACAGTTTAAATTTAATCATGGTGGAGAACCAAACCGTGGCTCACAGTTCAGTTACTGGAGAAAATCAGATAGCTTTTGAATTGAAAAGGTACCCCCAAAGTGTTTACTGTACTCATTTGTATAATATACTAGAACAAAGTTTCAAATCAGGAGCCATATATACTTCATATTTCTCTCTGACATTTCCAGGCAAAATAAGGACGTCACTCTGCAACTCAACAGATAAACTTTTATTTTTCAGTTAGTGTGTGCATGTTTAAGACCAAATAATTTCTTGACTTAGTTTTATGATAGAAAAATGGAAAGGCAGCAAGCCCAAAATGATCTTCTCATTCTTGACTATATAACTTTGTCTACAAAATTCTTTTTCCATATGCTCTCTGCAATGTTTAGGCAGATCTCTATCATGGGGGAGCCATATGTTGACTTTGCAATAGCATATTTTCTATTTTTCAGAATTGAGCCCACCATATTGTGGACACAGGCCATGGGAACCTCAATACCTTTCATTTAAATGCCAAGATGGCATTAAACATGTCTGTAAATGGTATAGCTAGAAGTACGATCACTTGATTTGAATAAATGAATGGAGATCTCTGACAGATCATGTCTACCATGTTTAGAATCCCATAAAGACATTTTAGAATCCAAATCCAAAGCAGAGGTCCTGCTTTGTTTTGGGTTCTTCACCGTACTTTGATCTCTGGCTAAAGGTTTTGCTGTTGTCCTCATGGTTTACAACTTGAAGATGTTGTGGAGTTGACTTTCAAAATGACAATTTCCCAGTATTCTTAGAAGAAAAGTAAAGGAGAGCTAAAAAGTTACACTCGAAAAAATTAAAGATGTCATTTTTGAAATTATGATGGGTTTTCCTCTAAAATTATTTACATAGGTAAAGCTTTATTTAAGATAAAGCTAGTAATTGTTATCCTCGTGTTAATGTGTCTAATGTATATGTTCAATGTATTCTCATACATTTAACTTTAGTAGTAGAAGTTTCTTTTTAAAGAAAGAAATTATTCTGTTTTGGTTGGGTGCCTAAAATGAGATCATTCTTTTCTACCCTAAAGGGTGTATATCATGAACTAGTGTGGAACACTGAACATTCTATATTTTTAAAGCAAAAGAAGGTAATTCACAGAGATTTTTTTTAAAAGGTCTTTTTTAAGGTTTTTAGAGAACTTGTTAAAAAACACCCACAACCATATTTCAAGTCACTTTCCCTCTCCTGTCTCTTCTCCCCACAAAATGCTCACAGACTGCCAATTTAAAGGAAAAACATAGTCAAGCCAGATAAAAGCATCCAAATGAAGAGAAGGTTAATCGCAGAAGGCGATGGAGGTAGTTGGGACAATCTGTTGATTTCTTTGCAATGACTGCATTTAGCCATTTCTTCCACAGCCCCCTGAGAATGAAGGTTGGTGTTCCCTAGCCCCCAGACTCAGTTTGTAACAATGTTCATCCCCAGTCTCTCATCTTGATCATCGCCAGCCTTCTGACCTAAGAGTGTTGGGAGAAGAACCTGGGAAGGAGGTCTTGGGAACTCAAAGCTAGGAAAATAAACAGCAATGTGAATAAGAATGTGAACAACTGGATGCCTTGGCTTAGCAATGCTAAGCAATAAGCTAGGTCTCCTATCTCTTCATTTAACTCAAATAAAACCAGTAAAAGACATGATCGCCAAAGGCATTTTTCAGCCTCATCTTTGGCTCATGGCATGACAGCCCAGTGAGTTGTAATGACAAACATATATGAGAATATAAATTTCAAACTTGTATTAACTGTCACCTTTTAGTTCTCCTTTCCTCCTTTATGATAACAGAAACTAGGTTTTCATTCTGAGTTATGACCATCTCTTCCTTAGATTTTAATCTGGGTTGCTACTCAAATTATTGTCATGCATGAACTGCCAGGGTCCTTATCCATGAAATGGGAATAATAATAGGTACCTACCTCATGGAATTATCCTAAGGACCGAATGAGACACTGGAGAGATAATAGTACAGGCTGTGGTCTATAGTAAGAGGACAAAGAATATTAGCTATCTTCATGCTTATAACTTTTGTTAGGAATATTAATTACCCAAAATATAAATTTGTAAATACAATTATATTCTGTTATGAATCAGAACACTTGGGTTCTAGTACTGGCTCTGTCGCTCAGAAGCTGAGAGTCCTTAAGTGAGATACTTAGCACCTCTGGTCTCAGCTTATAAAATGAAAAACTTGGATTAGGTGGTTATTAAGGTCACTTTGGGCTCTAATATTATTCTGTATTTGACTTCTCCATAGCAACTGTTTTCTGCAATAAGACTGGCTGACTAGAGATCTGCTCTCTACAACATAGTTCTCTTTTTAGAAATGTGCAGATCAGAATTAAGCTTTTCTTCTAGGAATCAGTTTGATGGTCAGCACTTGAGTATCACTTTCTTGGGAATTCCTGAGCCCAAACCTAGGAGAAAATTTTCATTTTCTTACCATTGAATATTTTTAGAAAAATATCTGTACAATAAAAATAAGTCCTGGATAAACAGTGGGATCTGATGTAAGTATTTATGTATCAGATACCAGGGCTTAGGGAGCAGCATAACGGTGGCTGAAAGAGAGGGAGGGCTGAATTAGAGCAGATCTGGATGGTAATCCAATGATAGCATTCCTTCCATTCTCTCCAGGCACCAAATCCAAGTTGTGACAATAGAAAGGTCCAGGATCCCTAAAGAATACTGTCAAGTGATGTCAACGGGAATGGGTTAGAGGAAAGGTTTGGCTGGAAACTAGATGGGCAGTGGCTTTCATTCAGCTCCCTTGGCTTCAGGGAGCTGACAAGCAGACAAAAATGTGTTTCAGAGTCAAGGTAACACAAAACAAAATCCCAGTCCTGGAAACAGAGGCAACATGTGCAGGAAGGATAAGTTACAAGGGCAAATTCCTGAACTCCACTGATCATCACTGTGGGAACTGAATGTGTAACTGGAGGAGGAGAAAACAATGTGAAGTCACCCCTTATTTCAGGAGGTCAATAAGAGTCCTCAGGAAAAGCTCCATATACCAGATAGTTGTTTAGAGCCATTTAAACATGGGGTTTGGGGATAATAAATGGACAGGAAGATTGTATGCAATCTTGCTCTGTATTGGTCATAGGATGATACCATAAAGCACTGAAAACACT